ACCGGAAAAAGCGTTTTTACATTTTCCATTATAGTTTAACACAAATGAGAGATATGTCAAAATAATCTCAAGCAAAAATGAAGGGAATTAAGTGATCTTTCCACCAGCACCTTCGATTTTACGATCGGACTTTATTTATGCCTTATAGAGAGCAAAAACTGCAAATAGGTCCGATTTAGACCACACACTCTCCCCTATATATTTTAATAATATTTCAAATAAAGTTTTATATAAAATATATATGTAATATTTATACAATATTTTAAAAAATGAATATTAATAAATATTTATCATAAATATTCTGTGCTGTCTGGGGTAGCTGTAATATGAATGTATATTTACATTATTACTGTATATTTTACATTATTACTATATTGACTTTATTACTGGTTTTGACATCGAAATATGTTGATTATCATTATCGTAAAAAGCGATTGTATTAATTGCAAACAGATAGAATTATCCTGTACAAAGAAAAAAAATAGCGTGTACATTATAAATGTATTTAGTATTGAAGAGAAACATCTATTCTTCATTAATTTAATACATAAAGATCGATGAAGTTTAGTACATGTTAAATGTGCTGCATTAATACGAACCAAAGGAGTCACTTCGATATCAGTATCTACTCAAGTAATTAAACAATTTACGTTTAAAAAATGTTTTGTAATCGAAATATTTCCCGGGAAAAAATGTTTCGTATATAATTATATAAAATTATATATATTTATATATAAAATTGACATATTTTATATATGTACAATTATATATACAAATGTATATAAACAATATATACTTATGTCCATACATATAACATTTTTCCCGGATTGTTATAGTTTATAAAAATGTTAAATATATATACACATATATATTTATCATGTATGTATTATATATTTATAATATACATATATACATATATAAACATATATATATAGACATTATTAACGTTAATTATTAAGCCGTTGAAATATCTCACATAAAAAAAAACGATATTTTAAACTAGTAAAAAAATGTTTAACAGACATTACAAACGTCTTATAAAGCGTTTTTATAATGTTTATTAAATAGTTCAAAAAATTTATCTTTTAAACGTTTTTTTCAGTTTATATATAATTCTGTACTTGCGATACTTATACTTCTAATGTTTATTAAACGTAATTGTGTTACTTGAGTAGTTATTGCGAATTTTCTGAATAAGAAAATGTTTTTTTAAACTGTGTTCCTATCGCTTATTTATATTTATTATTAAGTAATTTTACCTAATCATCTATTTCGACTCTTGAGAATTTAGAAGCGTAGCACATTGTAACCGATGCATTTATAACCTGTTCTTTTATCCCTTGCGCTTTTTGTCGTGTCGATTTTTGCAAAATAATCGAATCTTAATTTCTTAGAATCGATACAATATCGGTAACACTTTCTTACGATTTCTTCTTTGGAACCTGCGTTACCGACATTGTAGACTATGTCGCAATGCCTGAACTAATGCGCTCCCTACCAGGAAAAACGGAGAAAATAAAGAAGACTAGAGGCGGTATTTATAGGCCGGAATCCATAGTCTGGTCTTAATCTTAAGCAATCTTAAGCGTCTTAAGATGCTAATACGGCTCTCTGATTGGTTCATGTATTAGCTTAAGACCATCTCGAATTTTGAGCAACGTCTATGGATTCCGCCCATAGTCCATTCTTATTTCAAGACTGTCCTAAGTAACGTCTTAAGGGGATCCTAAAGCCGTCTGTATTACCGACTAAATCGTAATTTTTGTATAACAAATACCTTTTTTCTCTTTCACAGATTCGAAAATCCTTTTCCAGGATTAAAGTATACACATTAATACGTGTTTGTGAGGTGGAGTTTATACCGAGAACGATAAAAAATTTTTCTTAAAATTTTAATTTCAAAATTTTTTGTCGTTCTCAGCATAAACTCCACCTCACAAACACGTATTAATACGTACACTTTAATCCTGGAAAAGGATTTTCGAATCTGTGAAAGAGAAAAAAGGTATTTGTTATACAAAAATTACGATTTAGTCGGTAATACAGACGGCTTTAGTATCCCCTTAAGATGCTAATACAATCCTCTGGTTGGTTCGTGACTTCTTAAGACTATACTTAAGACGATCTTGAATATAAGATCTGACTATGAA